AGCAGGGGGGGGAAGGCCCGGCGAGACGCGGTGATTGAGCTCGTCATGGCGGAACATACGCGTAGCCCGGCGCTGGGTTAAAATCGGCCCGAAGCAGATGGCGGCGCCCGCATCCTGGGCCGACCTGGCTGCCTGCGGTCCCCGGGGCGGCGTTCGGGCTGGGCGGCCTCGGTCCTCCGCCCGCGGGCCGCCTGGGCCCTCCTCGGGCCCCCAGAGGGTGGCGCGAGCCAGATGTGTCAGGACCAGGGACAGCGGCGGCACCAGGAGTGCCTCCGGGAGTCGTGCCCGCAGGGCGCCGTCCCGGAACGCGGCGTCTTTGGCGTCTGGCACCTATCCTCCTCCGGGAACCGTCCTCTTCAGCTGTTGCCTCTTTCCAGGAAGCCCACCCTGACCTCCCCTGGTCCCGTGGCGCCGCCTCTAGTTGCGGGGCTGCAGAGACTCCTGTCGGGGTCCTGGCTGAGGGCCAGGAAACCCAGCTCTCTTGGCCCGGCGGGGCGGTGTGGGGTCGCCTCAAGGCCCACTCCGCATCCGGGCGGGGGTCGGGGCACAGCGACTCGCAGTCCCACGTGCAGTGTCGCGGGCTCGGGGCCCTCCGCCCCGGGAGCAGGCACGGTGTGCGGGGCGAGGCCGCCCCTCCCGGAGCGAGGACTCGACCCTCAGACAAAATGGCCCTCGTTTCAGTGCGATCGATGTGAAGTACCGGCCACCAAGCGAGACGCCGGCGCGGGGCCCGGCCAGCGGACACCCCTGGGGCGAGTCCCCCCGCGCGCCGGCTCCGCCCGCTGGGAAGCCGACGTCTGGCCTTGTACCGCGGGGGGAGGCGGGCCGGAAGCGGCCGAACCGGGACCGTATTTCCATGGCGACGGGCCACGGCCCAGCTGTAGGGGAGAGGGTCTGCCAGCTCCAAGCCCGCGGTCAGGGTCAGCGCGGACCAGAGGTAGCGGCCTCAGCAGCTCCCACGGCAAAGGCTCTCTGCCACTCCTCGGAAAACGCACTGGGAAGCCCAGGCCCGCAGCAGAGAGGTCCTTTCCTCTGGCATGATGGGAGTCGTGGGCTCCTGGCGACACAACAGAGTGACTACCTCCACCCCCTGGTGGAGGGCACAGAGGGTCCCCCCTCCCCCGGGAGCGGCAGATCCTGCAGTTCTGGGAGGGCCGTGGGAGGTGGCACCCTTCACTGGAGGGTTCCAGGCCTTCTCAGCCATGTCCCTCTCTGGGGCCACGGGTGACATCGGGTGGGCAACAGCTGCTTAGGGAGGTGACTAGCGAGCCGATGTGGACTTGGAATGGCTGTCAGGCTGCCTGTCACCCTCCCTTCCCGCCTGTCCCGTCCGCTATATTGGGAAGAACACCAGGGGCAGATAGCGACTGGGAAGGCAGCCTGTCCATTGGTCAGCCTCTGCCCACCCCACGCAGCAACTGTGCCCAGCCCCCCAGTCTCAAAGCTAGTCCCCTGACAGGCCTTGCAGGCAGGGGGCTTCAGTGTGTGTGGGTCCTGTGACTGCTCTCCGGACTGTGCAGTGGTCAATGGCAGTGGCGGCCTGCAGGGTGGCCAGTCTAGAAGCCTGACCTGTCCCTGGCCCCTACCCCTTGCCAGGTGCCCTGACCAGCCAGTCTGAGGGACTACCTGCAGCAGGGAGCGAGCGGTGTGGTGTGCCGGCAGAGCCACCCAGGAGGGGTCCTTTCAGGTCCTAGGCAGGGGTGTCATTGGAGTATTTTGGGTGCACGGGTACAGCGGCTGCAGTGCCACCCGGGAGTTCAGGGAGCCGGCACCCCTTTTTTGGGGGCAGACAGCGAACAGCCACCCTGTTTCATGTAGTTTGAATGAGGCTGCCCCAACCCAGGGCTCTTGACCAGTCACCCACCAGGGCTCCCTACAGCTATGTCGGGCGAACAGGTTGGGTGCTTACGGGTGCGCCCTGCACATTAGGGCAGTTCTGCCAGGTCAGGTGGGAGCATTTGGGATGAAGGAAGGGATAGAGAGGGTGATAACAACCAGTCTCATGGTGGTGTTGAAAGGGGGTGGTGGTGGTGAAGGTAAGGGATTCCACTTGGTTGACCACACTTCAAGTCCTGGACCTGGCAGCTTGAAAAACATGCCAGGAATGTGTGCATGCATGCTAGATCCCTTAGAAGGGATTGGGGTGCAGCCATCTGGGGGGTGGGTGATTTCTCACTTTCCCTCTCTGTCTCTGTTATCTCTCTCCAACTAGCACACATGCCCCGGAAAAAATACAAAATAAATAAATAAAAGTGGAGCCTCAGAGGGGTGACTACGATTGACAAGCACCAGGGTGGGGCCATGACTGGACACTCTGGGTCTACAGGGAGATAGACGCCCTCCATGCTTAGCCACCAGACGGCCCTTACCAGAT